CCCCAAAACCCCAAAACCCCAAAACCCCATGAGTTGATATTAGAAAGGATTGATTGGTTTAGTTTAAAAATAGCATTTATATAGTTTGATTAGAGTAGTGATGTCTATATAAATCAAATTTATTGTACCAATGAAATTAAAAATAAAAATACGTCTTAGCACAAATGAGTAAGTCTAAAATATTATTTCAAATTATATGACTTAATCAGGAATGTTAATTATTTATCATTAGAATTAGTTGGAGAAAATAATTAAATGGAGGAATAAAAGTTGAAGGACAGGGACTACAGTTTTCACTCAATTAATATCCCTCATTAAGAAGGTTATTATAACGACAAGTTCTACTCTCACTCTCCCTGTGGTCGTAAAAATAAAGAAATAACCACCAAGGGTTTCAAATAATTTTAAGATGAACAAGAAGACAATAATAACTCTGGTGATGATGATAAATCAATTCCTGATGAGGACTAAATCATGGAAGAGAAAGAGTGTAGCGCAGATAGAGACATTTTCTTTCTGGATTGTAAGCAAAGAGAGCACAAGATTATTTCATACAAGAAGATTTTTATAAGCGATAATCATTTTTTTGCATAGCCATCAAAGCTCGTTGATTGTAAGATTCTTAAATTTATTATAATTAAATGATATAACTAATTTTATGGGTTTAGAAATTGATGAGTATGAAAATCCAATAGAAATGAATCTTGTAGGGAGTCGGAGGATTAATAATTATTACAGCAACAAAAAAATAAGTAAAACCCTTTTCTTCGTCATCCATATTATATAGAGGATAATAATATATCTAATATTCATAAACTACAGCAAATGATCGCCGATCAAGATTAATAGATTGTAATATGTGAATAGTTCCTAATGAAACCTTGTTAAACTCATGAAGTTAAATATGTTGACAACTAACTCTCTGAAAATAAGAACACCTAATCAATTGCTAAAAGCTCTAACCATATGAATCAAAATTACCAGACTAAGTCAAAGAACTCAAAAAATTCAGATATGGCCACGTTTAAGCCTGATTACAGAATGAATTATGATTCCATTGCTGACAATGATCGTTCAAGATAATTGAATATCGAACGAAGCCAAGGAAATTTAAATGACAACATTGCACTTGTTGTAGAAGACTGCAAAAGTAGTAACTATCAAAATGACAACCAGAGAAATCAAGAATCGAGTCCTAATTAACGGAGGTAATCTGCAAATTTTGGACTTATGATTACTCCATCACACACACTAAAAAACTCGCATAACTATCATAAATTGAGAACAGATATAGAGATATAATAGAATTTTGATAATAACCAACTATATAATTAGCAAATGGGATTCAAGAATGGTGCTTTGCCATTCAACAGCCACTAACAAATGGAAAGCAATGGAATCATTTTTGAGGCGACTAGCGAATACAAAGCTAGTTCGATTATGCCATAGTCATACTATGAAATAGATTAACATGGGAAGCAGGTCCTTAGAATCGCTAATTCTTCTATCAATGATAGCAATACTATAAAAAAGAACTATAGCTACATGTGAACAATGAAGGCCTGCTCCAATAACGAAGATATATTTTCGCAAAGACTGTCGTTTAAATAGAACTGTCTAGATAATAAGAGTATCACTACTAAGGAAATCGTGTATCACAACTCTGAGTTGATATCTCATAATAATTAAGATGAATAGTAAGAAACTGGAGGCACCTACTTCTTCAAAAAAGATCAACTTGACTACAGAGTTCCATATTCATAGCGAGTTGGTTCCTAAGACTAACTAAGAATAGCCTCCTTTGATTCAAAGAGAAAACCATCAAATCAAAGTAGATGTGATGAGGTTCCTGAAGAACCAGCGATAATCAGCAATGCTGGAGGAGTTTCTCATAGGTCTAAATTCAGTAATGTTTCAGCTAAGGATATAGCATCAAAGATGCTCAACTTTATTAAAATCGATCAGAAAGCCAAGAAAAATCTTAATATCTAGGCAACTATTTAGGAGAGAATAGATTCTATGACTAATCTTAAAAATACAGGAGTCCTTGCTTAGTATTACTCATACACTAGTTCACTATCCAATAACTATCAACCTAGCCAGGTCAAAATCAATTTAAAAAATGGCAAGTTTATCTTTATAAAAATCTAGCCAAGAAGCATGAAAAAAAGGATGTAAGGATGTGGTCTTTTTATGAAGCAAGCTTCCTCTACTGTGCATAAAAGTAAATTATATATCCGCTTATCATGTTTTATAGTTAAATTTGAAGAGATCGGTGGAATCATCATTGGACCATAGTCTGTGACATTTCAAGGACTTTTTCATAAAAATCCAGCTATTATCAATTAGCCTTGGCAATGTGTTTCAATAATTACTTGATGGCGAACTTATGACTTTATGTTTGAATCTAAAGAAGACCTAATTGACTTTCATGTTGCTGTGGAATGCTGCTTTATTTACCGTGTAGAGGTCAATCAAGGTAGATCTAATTCTATTTTCAGACGGAAGAGATTCAGTGACCTTCAAATGCAAGATAAAAATGTAAAGGCTCCTCGCATTGTTAAGTTCAGAATTATGAAGGAAAGATTTAAGTGCATTGCTTTATAGCAAAAGGTCAAGCTTTAAGATCTTTTCTACAAAATGCTAATATCTGCTTTGGAAAATTACCGAATATCAAATCAAGAAGAAAAGAATGAAATGAGAGAAAGAGCATTAAAAAACCTTAAAAAGAGACTTGAAATTGATGAGAAATCTAAATAAGTGTCCTAGTACCCTAGAATCACTTATATAGGCACTTCTGATAAAAACATTCAAGATATGGATTAAAAATAATTTGAAAACTACCTTAATCATTGCAAGAAAGACCTAGTCAAATCATATAACATTTCAAAGAAGTTTTACCTTCACAAATTTTTGCAGAAAAATGACTTGGAAAACAGGTTGTTTATGATGAATTTGGAATTGAACATGAGCAACTACATCAAGAGAAAGTTAAAAGATATTGATCAGAAGATGAATCCATAGTCAAGAGTGAATGCATGCATGGCACTCAAAGACTACTATGAGAGATTTTGCGATAGAAAAGATAACCCGACTTTCAATATGCTAGAAGTAGAGCTAAAGAGAGAAATCAACGAGTTTATTGAGTAGATTCCTCCTCAGACCACTTCAATCAACAATGGATCATAGTAGATAATAAAGTATGTGCAGAAGCCAGTTCATAAGTCTATATCCCAGTCTAAGGGTTAAGTCCGTCAGATTAACATTTTGAACAAGAGTCCTAACCAATTGAATAAGGCTAAAAATGGATTAGCTATTACTAACGTAGTACTAATAGAAAAACTTGGAGAAAATAAGACGAATAACACTTTGAATCAAAGCTTAAATCACAGTGGAGCTGTTAATAATACTTTGAATGCTAGTGCCTTCGCAAATATGAGTGGAGGTGAAAACCTACAGAGCTTGAATAATGAGTCTAGTGTCTGCTAGAACAACGAAAACATACAATAAGTTTCATACAGTACAGTGCTAAAGGCATTTATAGAGTAAAAGTTGAAAAATTAATAGAAACTTTAAGATAACAAAGAATTGTTAAAGTATTTGCCACCAGTACAAACACCCCTTTCCAGGTAGTTATCTAATATTAGCAGAATGAAGCTATATAACAAATGATCTAAAAATGATGCTCACTTGACTTCTTTTCAAGACCTAATTTATCATGTTCAAGCACAACATCAACTTAATAAAATATAGTCTAAATATATAGCTAGAGAGTGTATATATAAATATAATTAAGGCATTAACTATTAATTTTTTTAAACATTTGAACGATAACTTCTCACATCTGATTCAATTGATGAAAAAGGGGTTTTGGAAAGGGTGTAGATCGGAAGAGCACA